CCATCAATATCTCAAGTACAAGTAATTTTGAATTAATTTTTCCTGTGTCTTCAATACTCTCAGCACACGGGAGTTCTTTCTAAGTTTTCTTTGATCATTCATTTTTTCGCACTTTAATGAGTGTAATACGGTCATTTCAATTGGATTGTGAAACAAATGCATTAATGTGATAGGAAATGCTTGATTTAGATATATTTGTACAACTACAAAGGCTGCCATACAGCCATCTTTAATCGGATTGCGAAATGAATGCATGTACATAAAATTATGTTTATCCAAGATGTATTCAATGCTCCTTAGCAATATCAAACTTCTACAATTTGTTTGTCTAACATAACACCCAACCCTCCAGCCGTGACCCAATTCAGCAATCAGTTTACTTTAATGTGACCTAGGAGAGTGAGGTGATCGCCAACAGTGTGGCAGTGCAAAGTACATCCAGTTAGATAACCAATCACGTTGATAGAAGCTAGGAAGGGCATTCAGAAGACCATAACCTTGCCCTGTTCGAAGCGTTTACAGTGACTGGAAGACAATCTTCCCCAGCCCACAGCAAAGCCCAAATTCACCTACCTGCCAGAACTATAACTAGACCAATCAGAGTCAAGGATTTGGGGGAGCCTACCCCCTGCAAAGTAGATTTTATCAGTAAGAGACTTGCCTTTGGTTTCCCCCTGATTTCCTCCTAGGCACTATGCCTCGATCATAATCTGATAAATTACCATTGATGTAGTATCTCTTAACTGTGTTTGTTAAATTACAATTATCCGCACATGCTTAAAATAAATGAGGATATTTTGTATGGCTCTAGTCTGTAAAACAAATTTTGGTCTAGACTATCATTTTCGATTTTTATTCAAAACATCTCAAACTAGCAGAATATCCAGGTTGTACATACAAAGCAATGATTAGTTCACTTAATATAACAATCTAGGAATTCTTAAAGCCCATTTTGCCTCCCAAAAAAATTGTTCAACAAGAATATACAAGTTGCCTGAGAAGGGTCATAAATAAATGTAGATTGGCAAACCAGATTTCAGTTTTCAATTGCATTTTTCATTTTGATTTGTGTATTTTGGTTTAATAGTAAAAGACGTCAATAACAAGCAATAGCTAACCTACATGTAGTCATTGTATTTATTGACCTTACTGGTACTCACGTATCAAAGAAATTTTCCTCAATTGCTTTCTTCATGTGTTTACATTCCTGTATTGTGTCACAAGTGAGAAACAATGATGCAGCAAGACATCTCATGTGATGTTTTTGCAAAGTTGTTTTAGATTCCTTGACCAGTACCAACATTGCTAATGCTGAAACAACTCTGTCAATATCATTTTGAAAGTCATCCATCTTCTTGGGAGGCATATAGTTGTTCTTTTTCATCATTCCACAAATCTCATCAAGTTTACTTTGGAGAAATGATGACATCACCTGTAATATATGTATTTTTAAATAAGAAAACAAACAAGTGCAATAGTAGCAAACTCATTTTGGTGAAAATTATGAAATATTGTACAAACAGATACTTTACTCAAGTTCTGTGTAGAATTAAGATTAGACAGCTGTAAGCAAAATATGACCGGGTGCTGTTCCTTGTGGCAAAATCAGTATGCTGGATGAAAGTGGGTCATGGATGTACCCGCTATCGTTAAAAAAGAACAGTGTTTGAATTGTTAAATTCTTTGTGTCTGTCTATAAGTTTGGTTGCTTTCAAAAAGTAACTATAGATGCAGAAGAGGAGGATTTTTGCATTCATTCACATACAATAGCACTGTTAAAAGTGTGCACTGGCATTAGAGAATACATGTTTATTTACCCTGTGTTCTTAATTACCAAATACTGACACCAATATGTTGATACTTGTAAGGATGTATGCATAATTAATGAGGTACTATGACTGACCCACTTTCCCAAATTTTGGTTGGTTGGTTGGATCACTGTTATTGTTTTGTATTTATCAATAATGAATGAGGTAACAGGATCAATCCTGGCTTTTTTTTAACACCTAAATTACAACATCCGTGAATACATTGTATGAAACCACAATACAATTTATGGATCTTTAGACCCACATGACCGATAGTTATGTATTCTAGGGTTAACACAAGTCCTTAGGAATGTGCTTCATTGTTTGGTTCTAATATTGAGTATAAAGAATCACATTCATATAA